TACCTCGGATGAATTTTCAGGCTCTGGAATGAATGCTTCTGTCTCTGCGGATTGACGAAAGTCGCAGAGATGACTTTCAGGCGAAAACTCAAGCAACGAGAGCTGGCTCACCAGAAATTACAAAAGACTCCGATGGGGCTTCGACATTCACTCCGGAAGTATAATCATGCTCTGATTCGACTCCGACCCGGAAACTCATGTCGCTCGTAGAGCATCTGATAATAGAGGATCTGATATAGTTCCTGGAGCAATCAATCTCATCACTTGATCTCGCAAGGAGACAGGCGTACTCGCGTTATGGATCTCTTTCGTCGTGATTCCGTCTCTCGTTGCCTGGAAGATTTATGGACGAGCCCAGGAGGGTGAGCGAGATTCAGAATATCGCCTCAGTGAAATGTTTTCAAATTTCGCCTTCATCCCGAAGCCTTCGTCCGCGCGCCACTCTCGGCTGGCGGTCGCTCGTTTCGCCTTCCGGACGCAGAGTCAATACTCTATTGGCAATTTTCAATCCATGGCCCGAGCGCTGTTTTCCTTGTAGAATTCTCGAGAGAAGCTGACTTTGTTGCTGGCTTGCGTTGAGCCTTGCTTGCATGCATGCATGCACGCACGCAGCGCGCGCCCAGTCCCCGCAGCCCGACCGCGGCCGGAGGGAGCTCCGCTTGCGGGGTTTGTATCTAGTCTCTGACTGTCCATCGCCCCGAGCAGAAAGAGCTCTAGAAGGAGCGCCGCCGCCGCCACCGCGGGGAAAACGACAAGACACGACCGAAATGGGGAACGAGCGAAATTCGAATGAAGAGTTTGAACGAGATGAAACGACCTGGACCACGAGCGGAACAGCAGCGGGAGCCGGGTAGGAGCCTTCGGCTAGACGTGGCTCCCGGCCGCGATCGACAGGAAGGAATAGGAAACAGCACGATTTCTCTCACATACTCGCCCTTGCAAAGATGACAGGCTGACTGACTGACTGAGAGGTGCTCGATAGAGGCTCCCCGGCGGCCGCCGTCGACGTCATCGTGAGAGGATCACGGTGGCGGTCGGGGTGATGGTGGTGTCGGTGGCAGTAGGTGAGCTCGTATGTCAACGGGAAACGAGAATGTCGGCAATGGAAAGGACAAGAAAGACAAAGATGATGTTGGGAAAGCAGTGATCGCCTGTCGGACCGCCACCCGGAGGCTCAGGAATGAGGCGGAGGAACAATGTTTCGTACCTCCTGCGGCTTCCTTCGATTTCTCCCGCCTGCTTTCACTTAGTTCGGCCGTGTTTTGGGAGTTGACATTTTCCTCGCTTCTTCCTCCCCTCTTCCAGTCGAGCAGAATGTCGGCGGGAGGGGGATGGGTGGGGGGCGCGAAGGAGGAATGGATTGTCCGATGACCGATGAGGTCGAACTACGAATACGAAGGGACAACATGTCATTTCGTTTTCCCATCCTGCCAAGCGGAACTTTCCTGATGACGACGTCCGATTTCAGCAACTGGGCTTCGAGCCGTCGGTCGACAGAAATCCTCGCGTGGCTTTGGAAGGATTTGATTGCTGGGTCGGAGAATTCATTCGGGTCAGGGCGACCGATGGGATTTTCGAGCTCATGGGCGCTGAGACGCCAAGAAGAATACTGCAACGCAGGCCAAATCTGAAGGTTCCGTGTGGGTCCGAATCTTTCGGGAGGAATATCCTCAGTATGTTCTTGAGATTCAAACGTGAATTTTTGGGGGTTGTTCCTCATTTTACCTGAGCGCAGCCTTGCGTTTTGTCAGCCACGATTCGAGCCTCGGAATTTGCTGAGTTCGGTGACTCGCTCCACGACAAAGTTCGAAAAAGCAAAAAAGTATCCGGATCGAATCACGCATGCAAATTCGAATCGACGTCTCTCGCCAGCTCACGGTGCGTCCTCGACGGGGTTACGTGTTGATCGCTAAGCAGATTATTCCGTTCAAAATTACTGTTCCTATTACTTCAATTTCCCCTGCAGCCGTCCGGATCCCTCGTGATCAAGGTCTCTATGCCTTCCGTTCGAAATTCAATCAAGATGAGCTTAGGCTCAGTCTATAGTACCTACATGTGATTCCGACTCTCGATGGCATTGCGAACCTCCGGATCGGGTTGCGGACCTCTAGGCTTCCAACATGGGAGAAGTGTTTCCCTGAACGGGAATATTTCGAACAAAGTCGCGCAAGCCGCAGCCCCACTGGCCGGCGTCTGGAAAGAATCGAACACCGTTTCCGTTTGAAGCCGGGGCGAAAAGTTTCCGAGGATCCGGCCTCCTTTTGGTCGCCGGAGAAAATACGGAGCAATATACTTTAGTGTTTCGATCCGCTGCTTTGTCTCTTCCTCTGCAACGGTCACGGATGCGGGAAGGTGCGGCGCTCGCTTCTAGTTCCTTGTAGTGTACAGAGCCCGGGAGGGAGGATAGATTTCCTCCCCCGTCCGATCAAGCGAAAGATACTTCCGCTGTTGTTGTGGAGGCGTTGGCGGAGCCGTCCGCTTCGCTTGTTCGTCTCGAGGTTTTGCTTGTGGGAGAGTGCGTTCAGCGGGGAGGCAACGGCTGGATGTCTCGGGGACGGGAGTCACTCCCGCAGAGGATAGATAGATAGGTCGAAACGCCAAGGCTCAGCATGTAAGCGAAACCTTCTCACTTAATGCTCTAGGCTTTCTCTGCGGGATGTCCGGAGTTTCAGGGTGTGGTCCTGCAACCGCACACCGCGCGCCGACCTTAGCAACGTTCTCTTGGGCCAACGAGAAGGAGGAACCCACAACCGAAACATACAAGCTCCTCCATGACTGGAATACATTGAAACTCAAGAAGCAAATGGCCGCGATTTCAGGGGCCTGACCACCGCAGGCGCGGATCTTTATTCCCCGGCATCCCGCCCGGGGAGATTCATCCCAGTGACCCACCTGGTGGACGAAGCCCCAGAACCATGGACATTGTCGCTGATAAAAATCCGTTCGCCTTCCCGGAGGGTTCAAGCTGTGGCATTTTTTTTTGTCGTCCCGATCTCTGACGCGTCAAGAAGGCTCCAATCGAAATATACATGACCCCGGTACTCATGGACGTGTACATACGTTTATTAGGTCGACCGCAACCTCCTCCTCCTCTTCTTCCATCAGGTGGGGTCACTTCGCAACTGAGGCGGAGCAAACAAGTGACTCTTCTCTGCAATTATCTATGTAAATTCCCTCGGTCACCGGGGGCCTCGACGAACTCTGTCTGCTCTGACGGAGTTTGAGCGTACAATTTTCTGCTCACATTTTGTGTGCGCATATATATGACCTGATATCAAGTTGTATGAATCGCACGTCGCTCGCTGCCGATGCTGTAGTAGTATCCCCTGTTCTGAATACTGCCTGAGTCCGCGTTGCGAGGTCTTTGCGGAAAATTGCTGGCTCAGTGCCGGCGGAAGGCTTTGCATACTGTTGTCCTGAACTTTGTTTCTCCAAGTAAACTCTTCCCAGCGTTTTCGTTCCCAGGCGTTTTTGTGCCGGCCGGCGAACAATCAACCTCGTCCCCATGCTAGGTAGGTGGGATGGGTTTCCAGGAGGCCAAATACGCCGGCAGGAACCCTCCCTGTAATGGAGCAAGTCATTTTACTCATTCCTCCTTGAAGATCGCGGAGGTTGAAATGGTTTCGATAGCTCGGGCTTGGATTTCTTCTGAAGGGAGGGGGCGCGCGCTCCCACGATAATTCATTCGGAGGTTTCAGCCTCGGGGTGCAGTGTTTTGACAGCAGCGGCGATTCTTGTCCCAGAGACCAAGGAATTCGATTCAGTTCGTCGAGAATTCTACGTTCCATTTCGTGCTCGGGTCTGCATCGATTCTTCGATTGGAAGCGCCACATTTCATCTCGACTCGGGTCTTGCTGGGGTTTTCATGGAATGAGGATAGATCCGATCAATCATCTCTAATTATTTCGCAGGAACCGAGCGTGAAATATGAATAATCGAACACAGCCGAATAATGTAACATCCCCCCCCCCTATAGAACAAAAAGCGCAAGCGCTCCGTTCGCGAGCCGTTTTTTCGGCTCTTCCTCCCCACCAATTTCGGCGCATGTGATTCTGCGGTTGCGGAACGATCCCCCGGTTTGCAAGTTGATGCTTTTCTTTCTAATCTTCCACCCCTCCGCAAAATGATTGTCGAAAAGCAGTTCCTCCTACTTGACCTCCCAACCCTATTCTCCGGATAATGGAATCGCTCATGTGACATTATTTGCCCCAGAACGAAATTAATCGCTCCGAATTTCTCCCAGGGGTCGAGCAGACCCGGCGAAAAAACACAACTCATCAATCCTCTTTTCTCTACGTTAATTTTCGGCTGTGATTGGAATATTACGTACTTGTACATCATCCGTGGCGGAACGACACTGCGGTCTACCCAGAGGATCCCGACGAGCCGAACTCTGCTGATTCATCTTCGTCAGTCATGCAGCCTCCACACAATCGCGACGAGTTCGTCGCATGCGAACCACTTAGACATTGTCGTCTCAGGAATGAGAAGGCCACAGTCATATCCGACTTTGAGCTATGGAGGGGAATTCCAGTCTTTGTAGTCTGCGTTCCATTCCAGCGTTTGTACAGTTTTCCCGCGGAAGTACGGTCACCGGAGCCGCGACATCGAGAGGTCGGAGATTTCCACGGGACAAGGAGAGGTCCGAATTTCGGATCAGAATCGACATCAATGCCGTTGCCGTAAGGGAGACTCCGCCGAGATTTTTCTCCCTCGCCACAGCCCCCACAGAATATTATCTAAAGAGATGCTCGGAGTTAATTCGTAAAACTTTCACTGATTTTCGACCCGGAAGCTTTGTCCCTCATCCGTCCCTGTTTTCAAACCGGTCAGTCGACTCAGCGGCGCCATGCCATGGCTCTGCCTACTCTAGACTAAGCTCCGCTTAGGGATAAATCGATCCTCCGAGTTTTTCAGGTCCGCCGATCTCTGAGCCGCCCGACTCCGGGTCAGCTCGGAGCGCTACAACACGAATGCATTCATCCATCCACGTTGGCAATCAGCTGGCGGTTTTCGCTTGAGAGGCAATACTGACAGCACATAACTTCTCTCCATGTGGTTCGTGTTGACTCCGAGTGGTTGTGGTAGACGCGTGCTTAAAGTCTAGTCAGCTGATAGCGAACGTTTCCATCGGTGGAAAAATACTTCCTCCTCATAATGAAAGCTTTGATTCTCGTCGGGGGCTACGGTACCCGGCTCCGGCCTCTCACGCTGTCGCGGCCCAAACCCCTCGTGGAATTCTGCAACAAACCCATGATGATGCACCAAGTCGAAGCTCTGGTCAAGGCAGGCGTGAAACACATCATTCTAGCGGTGAGCTACCGGGCGGAACTGCTCGAAGAAGCCGTCGCCGAAGAAGGCAGGCGGGCCGGAGTGAAAATCACTCTGTCGCACGAAACCGAACCTCTCGGAACCGCGGGACCGCTGGCGTTGGCGAGGGAGCATCTCATCGCTGACAATGAGCCGTTTTTCGTTCTAAATTCTGACATCGTGTGCGAGTTCCCGTTCGAGCAAATGATCGCCTTTCACAAACAGCATGGACGTCAGGGCACAATTGTGGTGACGCGTGTCGAGGAGCCTTCAAAGTACGGTGTGGTCGTCTACCAGCGGGATGGAAAAATTGAGCGGTTTGTCGAGAAGCCGGTCGAGTTTGTTTCTAATCGAATCAACGCTGGCCTGTACATTCTGAACACCTCTGTTCTCGACCGAATCGAGCTGAGGCCGACGTCAATCGAGAAGGAGATCTTCCCCGCCATGGTCGGTGACAGCGATCTGTTCGCGTTCGAACTCGAGGGCTTCTGGATGGATGTGGGTCAGCCGAAAGATTTCCTCACCGGAATGTGTCTATACCTTAAATGGCTGAGCAGCAAGTCGCCCGAGCTGCTGTATCAGAGCGAAGGCATTGTGGGCACCGTACTCGTTCATCCAACGGCGAAAATCGGAGCCAATTGTCGCATCGGCCCGCACGTCGTCGTGGGTCCGAACGTGATTATCGAAGACGGTGTTTGCATCAAGCGCTCAACTCTGCTCGAGGGCTCCGTAATCAAATCGCATTGCTGGCTGGACTCCTGTATTGTTGGCTGGAAGAGCACCGTAGGACAATGGGTCCGGATGGAGAATACCACCGTGCTCGGCGAAGACGTGTACGTCAAAGACGAAATTTACGTCAACGGAGGCAAGGTGCTACCCCATAAAGCTATCGGCGATAGCATAATGGAGCCGCAGATCATCATGTGAGAAGTTCCTCTGATCGAACCGGTCGCCCTTTCGGTTCGACTCTTCGGCATTCCCACGGAACAGAGATTTATATGAAATATATCTATATATATATTTTTATAGACATATCCGAAGAAGCGAAAGGGATAAAAATCATTCACGGCAACGCTCAAACCCAATAGAGACAATTTCACCATATATGCGTGTAATCGCCTCCCAAAGTGACTTAAGTCCGACGCCCGCCGGCCCGTCCGCCGGCATCATCGGTGAGGCTCGCATTGCCAAGCGTTTGTAAACATATCGAATCGGACTGTCGATTGTCAGGGGGTGACTCTTTCCCGACTAAAGTGTTTATTTTGAATGAATAAAAAATAAACAGCTGACCATACATTGAAATGAGACACTGGATCTGAATGGTATTTTCATTTCGAGTGGCACCTTCATGTGTCATTCACGAATGCGTTATCGCTACGAAATCCGTCAACAGTTCAAGTGACAATGAGTCGAAATCGTTTGTCTGGCGAAAGGTAATTGGATCGATTGTCGAAAGAGGGAGAGCATTCAAAAAGTGCCGCAACAAAACGCAGAAATTGATTCCTGTGGTCGATAGAATTGCTCCGCCCGGCAGCATGGAATCGCGTGAGTTGACGACGGTGAACTCACAGAGTTCAGGACAATGAGGAATATCGAAGAGAGTCGGAGTGGTCGACGACAGTCGTATCTTCGGGGATCATTGCGGCATCGTCAGTTTGTTTGCAGACACAGATAATTAATTGAAGCAGCCAGGTCGTCCTTCTCGTTGTTTGTCAGTTGCTGAGGTCACGGGCAGGCGGCGGAGGAGGTGCAGCACTAACGTGTATTCTTGCTTTTCTAAAAAAAAGTCTAACTCCTGTGAAAATTCTTGTTCTTGTCGCTAAACATCAACTCCATTAGCAGAAACTCTGGTAACTTGGTTTCTGGCAGAGTGTCAGAAGTTTCTTCGATCGGTGCTCTTGACATTGAGAAAGTCTTTCCGCGGGAAATCAATTTAATGTTCTCGCCACAAATTGATAGTTATCAATAAACATCAGCGTTACCCGAATCACGGAACCCCCAGAGAATGGAAATTAGTTACAAGGAGCTCGACGTTCAGAGTATCACGATTACTCCTGAGCTTGAAGAATCTTCCTACTTTTGAAAATATATACCTAGCATGGAAACGGATCGGGGAAGGGTGCACACAATGTGGACGGAAATGACGTACTTCGCCGCCAGATCTCTCATTGGACTTCATCCGATGCTCACACATGAATTTCCATTATGATTGGCGTTCGATGCCCTGTTGATGTGCCGATGGGTTTTTGTACTCTTCAATCCCTGATGGAAGGTTTCATTCACAGTGAAGGAAGACATTCCTTGAGCCACAGGGAGGGATCTGAGCAAGTTTTAGTGCTCTGACAACGCCGGTTTAAGCTTTGACGTCGGGTGGTTTAAGCAGCTTACGATTGGAGCTGACAGCGAAATCGCGGTCCGACTCAAGTGTCATTCGGGGTTTATCTCGCCTCGGAAGATCACTCGTCTCGTCGTAAGAACCCACTAATAACTCTTCCTACATGTTTGCCCTTTCATTCGGTTCTCCATGGAGGGACTCGCGGAGACTCTGCTCCGTCATCCAATATTCGGGCATTTGCTCGAAGAACATCAAAACCTCAGAGTTTTTGTGGGGAGAACGATCCTCGATCTGTGAAGTTCCCGTAGATTGGAGGTGGCCGCCGAATTTTGAGCATCGACCTCCGGCCTGATCGGACATCTACGTGAAGTTTCCCGCTCCCAGCTGAAAGCAGGATGGCTCCTTCGCTCATGAAGAGTGACTGCGACTCACGGCCATCACATTTTGGAAATGCTCTCGACATCATGAAGCGGATGAAGAATGACCCCGACTCCGAGTGAGGAATCGGGGTGGTGAGACTTCCGCCTCAGCCGCAGGGCACATCGTCATCATTGTTCTGATCCCTTCCTCCTCTTCCTAAGAAATTGCGCTGGAGCCCCCTGTGGCAGAAGATTCCCGAAAATAATTGGCCGAAGATGGCTGCGAAGACAATAGTACCGCGGATTTCCAGGGGCGTCTTTTCTACCGATCTATCCCGTGTAGATCGCTAGACTTTCACGCTTGTTCGCGTTGATCCCAGTCTGGTGGAATGAAGACGGATCTTCTGGAAATGAGTGCTACTTCCGAATTGGCTGACCCCATAAAAATCCCTGGGGCGTCCGGGAACGTCAAAGACTTTCCACGACGTGCCTCCGTCGGCCGCGGACGGCGTTCAGACTCGCTCCCATATTTGGAGATACGCAAGATTCTCTCTCGAGCTCTGAATACCGTCGGAGAAAATAGATCTGTATCGAGACTCGCGGCGGGGCGTGTTTTTCCCCCACCGGAGTTCGTCCCTAGACAGGTCGACCGAGGAGAGAAAGGAGCAAATGCAACGGAAGCGGAGACGAAGACAAGAACGAAGAAAGGTCGTGAGATCTATCAGAGTCGATTGCTAGACCGAGGCAGCTGTACGTGGTCTCCCTGCGCTGGGAGGAAGCGGAGTGTTGCACTGGCAACCAAAAAAGTTTCTTGCAAATCTCGAGCAAATCCCCGTAATTTGTTTCAATGATCTCCCGAACAAGGTGCCTAGGTGGGACTGCGAACCCACCCCTTCTGCCGAGCCACAGACTGATGGTCGCACGAAGCAGGCAACGGTCTCAAGCCGCTTTCTGTTCTGCTCTCCGAGGGTACGGTAAGCATCTGGAACGGCCAGATCCAGGTCATTCTGTTCTGATTGCTGGTCGACGCACTGGCTGCGGGTCCGTCCGCTCGTCCGTGTCAGCCGGCTGGTCGATTGTTTGGAACGAACAGTAGAGGTGGCATCGGGATGTGTGGCGGACGCAGCTGATCACGGAGCAATCTCCAGCAGTCGGAGCGGCAAGCAAGCGCCCCGTGCCTTATTTGATAAGGACAATACCGTCTTGCAGCGGCACCGACGAACGGCTTTGGCAGAACACAGTGAAACATAAAAAGCCCCAGCCAGCAAGCTACAAAGGGAGTGCCATCTATCTTGTATCACCTAATAGTCTTCGACTCGCTGGTATGCTGCCTGCCTGCCTGGTTCGTTCGTTGTCGGTACTGCCTGCTTGCTTGCCTGCCAGCCGATTCGTCGGTCGGTCGGTCCTTGGTCTTCGTCGTCGGCGTGAACTTCTCTCGGAACAGCCTCTAGGCCATGGACGAGGGCGGCGGGGGCGACGACGAGGAGAGTGAGGCTTTCTTTCATTGTAGCGGACGCCTGCCCACCGTGGCTCCGACTGTCAGATAGCGCGCCCCCGGACCGTCGAAGCAGGGCTGTGGGGTAGGTGGGGCCTAACGGCAGGGACTGTGGAGATTGTTTTTTTCCTTTTTCGTCCGGAGCCAATCCTGATCGACTCCGGCGAGATAAATAGACGTTCGACGATTGCGTTTCGACTTGTTGTGGCTTAGAGCTCAGCAGGCCGCATGCGATCCGTATGTCTCTCAGGCGTTACACACGGTCCATCCACGAAGCGTGAGCCATTGTAGGCTCCGAAGCGAGCCGGATGAGAGTCCCGTAATGTCTTTCTCGAACCTATGGTCCGGAAACCAGATCGGATTCTCCAGCACCTGTATTGCCTTAATAAACACTGTGTATACCGGAGAATAGGAAAAATATTCCTGGGGAAAATGTGATGAATGTGCTCCGAGCGAAGATAGATTTTCCATGGAAGGTCTCGCCGACCCTCAAGTGATCACTTTTAAGTGTGGGGAGGAGGAAGGTGTGGAGCTCGAAGCTACAAAAAGCAGTCGAAGACTTCAGGGGGTGAAGTTGCCAAATAAAGTGTGGCGGGGAAGATGGAGTCGGTTGGAAAAAAACTGCATACGCCGATCCCATTATGCTTAATGTAGCGTTGCAGAGGAGAAAAACCTTTCGTAGTTTACCTTGCCGGTCAGGAAACCATCTCTAGTGGTCCAGCGAGTGAATCTAAGCGTCTGTGTGATAGTTTGGAGTGCTCCAAGCCATGGTTCTCGAGAGTAGTAGTGCTGCGCTTTGCGGAAACCAGGGGATATCGAGATGTTCCGCAATCCGCGACGTAGCTGTCCATCCAGACAGGGAGTCGATTGCTCGCAAACAGAATGAATCGCGCCGATGGAATTGAAGAGCTCCCGACCTCGCGATCGCAGTAGTAGGAACGCTGCCAGCAGGATTCCGGAGGACTTCAGAGATTGGAACTCTTGGGGAAACGCCGCTGACATCGAGAGGCGGATCTCAGCGGGGCTCAGTGGGGGACACCGTGGAGGGGCGTGAGGCCTGCATGTGTTTGAATCTACATATGTTGAGTTGAATTGGAGTGAGCTCTGGGATGCGTGCGGAAAGGTGGAGGAGCTTGTTGGAAAAACCATTAAGAATGGAGAAAGAAGCTGTATATGGTAAACAACGTCGGCTGTGCGTAACACACCTTGGCTAATGGATCCCACCATCGTATACCTCTTTTTCTCCCCTTTTCCCCCGCTCGAATCTTGCAGATCAGGTATTCGGACGCCCACCCCCTCGTACCCTGCAGTCCGCAAGGTGAGAATCATGAATTTCCTCGACTGCGAGCAGATCTCTGCATCGATGTCTTATGCTCAATTAGGACTTCCACAAACACTCCAAGGTTTTATGCCTACGAGCGGCGAAATCCGCTGTACATTGTCTCATATCACGCTCTTCTCACCAAACGCTATTATCATTTGTCTCGGGCTGAGAATTTTTTTCCAATTAATTCCTCGCCAGGCGATTCAGCTGCATGAGACCTGTTAGTGAAGCGCCATGCCTAGGCACGTTGGCGATTCGGAAGACTGCTAATCACACTGGAAGACAAGGTCATGCGCTGGCGTACGTGGCAGAAAGCCTCTCGAGGTAAATAAAATTCGAGTCAAGTGTTGTTTCAAACGAACAAGAAACTTCCACAACTCGACGAATGCTACCGGTGGCAGTGGTGAGTGAGCACCACACCAACGACGTCATGTTCATCCCGCCGCCAACGACAATAATTCTACAATATAGCTCGCTCAACCGCTCGCGCCCGGCTTGCTAGCTCGCGGCTTAGGCCTGAATCCGTGAGAACTTGAATAATTCACTAGGCCAGTTGCACTACACAAAAACCTCAGCGAGCCACCATGTTTAAATCCAACAAGCACGTCTAATAAAAACGAGCTAAAGACATTCATGTCTGTCTCTTCTTCCTTATGCTATACACCATTTTTGCTCGCTCTTGCGTTTTCACATCGTTTTGCCCATTGCATAATTGCGACCTTGAATTATTCATGCCCCGATCCGTCCGCCATAAATGAAGCAGGACCACGTATGGGGGCTCTCTCCTG